GATGCTGATTTGTCCTTGAAGGCGACCGGAGAGGATCTAAAGGAGATGGAAGATGCAAAGAAGAAGGCTGAAGCACTAATGTTCATGGCCGAGCGGAGGGCTGCAGATGCCGATGCTGCTCTGAAGTCTTTATAATCTAATTATCAAGGAATGGTGGACGAGGCTGAACAGAGGGGCTATGACGAGGCCGAAAAGACCTATTCGGAGGAGATTTTGAAGCTGAGGGACAAGATCTTTACTAAGGGTTGGACTGGGGCTCTACGCGCAGCTAAGGTGGAAGAGGCTTCTCCTCTTTATGATATTGACAATATCCCAGTCCTTTCAAAGACCGCTGCAAGGGTTAGGATGAGAAGGCCTCGGGGGGATAGAGCTACGAATGTTGATCCTTCTGGCCTTTCTCTTTTCCTACTGAGCTCTTCCTTAGTTAGGCAAACAATCAATCCTACAGGGGAGGAGCACCGCGAGGATGGACACTACAAGGAGGAGCAACGCAAGGAGTAAGTTGTTAGGTTGCCTCGAGTTTTTGCTTTTACTTCTGCTTTAGTAGTTGTTTTGTAATGAAACTTGGAAGTTAATGAAGTATCTTCAACTTTTACTTTAGTGCTCGGTTGGATAGGCTATGATACAAACCGAGCTCCCTTTTGTAATGAAGTTCCTTCTAAATTTGCCAAGTGTTGAACTTGCAACTTGTACTTTTTTATTTGTCTTGGAGTTCGGTCGGCTGGACCTCTTCTTTTTTAAGGCCGAACTCTTTTTTGTAATTGAAGTTTCACTTCAATGCACTCGTTCTTACATTTTCGCAAGTGTTGAACTGCTTATCTTCAATTTTTGCTTGTATGTAATGTTTGCCCCAGCCGAGCAGAGGCTCTGTGGCCCAGCAGGCCATCTGTTCGGTCTGATCAGGCTTCGTGCCTTAGAAAAAATTGAGTGAGTTTTTGATGCCCTTAGCCGAGCATGAGCTCTGTGGCTTAGAAGGTTGTCTGTTCGATCAAACCATGCTTCATGCCTCAGTAGAGAAAAAATTGTGAAAATTTTTTATCATGTTGTTCAGCCGCCACCTGACTTGGTCAAGTTTCGGCGTGATTTAACCCCTCGTAGAGTGTAATTCTGTCTTTCTTTGAGCGCGAATTGTGAATATGGACCGTGCTTTAAGTAACGATACTTGGCACAAATTTCACCAAGTTATACCACTTAACCAAAGGGTTGAGCATCCGGGATTGGCTTGAGTTAAGACCCGCGGCCAATTTGCTCCACCAAGCATAAATGTACAACATAAGTAAATAAGGACAAACTGTAAAATAAATTTCCTTTCATTGATACTTGTAACTTTTGATTACATTAAGGCATGTTCTGAGAAATACATTACTGTAAGTACTTTATCTTAAGAATCACATCACTGGAAGTACTTCTTTAGGTTGGCGACGTTCCATGGTCTAGGGATTGCCTTCCTTGATAAGTCAGCCAGATAGTATGCACCATTGCCAAGTGCTGAAGTAACCTTGTAGGGCCCCTCGCAGTTAGCACCGAGTTTTCCTTCTCCAGAAACTTTCTTGTGATCCATTACCTTCTTGAGTACCAAGTCACCTGGTAGGAATTGCCTTGGGCACACATTCTTGTTGAAGCTCTTAGTGAGTTGCTGCTGCTAAGCTGCCAATCGAATGAGGGCAGCTTCCCTACATTCTTCGGCCATGTCCAGAGCTTAGGCGATGGCTTCATCATTGTCTGCTGGCTCAAAGATCTTAGAACGGATGGTAGGAAGGCCAACCTCCAAAGGGATGACTGCTTCCACCCCATAGGTAAGAGAGTAAGGTGTCTCACCGGTTGACCGACGAGGAGTAGTTCAGTAAGCCTAGAGGACATTCAGTATCTCTTCCACCCATTTATCCTTGGCTTTTTCAAGACGCTTTTTTATCCCATCAATGATCGTCTTATTGGACGCTTCAGCTTGGCCATTGCCCTGTGGGTAGGCCGGAGTAGAGTTTCAGAACTTTATCTTCAAGTCAGCGCAAAATCTCTTGAAGATCTTGCCATCAAATTGTGTACCGTTGTCAGAGAGAAGGACTCTGGGAATGCCAAATCGAGTCACAACATTACGCCAAACAAACCTCTTAGTGTCTGCTTCTTTGATCTTACATAAGGCCTCCACCTCCACCCACTTGGTGAAGTAGTCAGTTGCAGCGATGAAGAACCTTTTATTCCCAGTTCCCCTAACTAATGGTCCAACAATGTCTAAGCCCCACTGAGCGAATGTCCAAGGACTGGTGAGGGGGGTTAGAGTTTTGGCTGGCTGGTGAATGAGAGGAGCAAACTTTTGGCACTTGTCGCACTTGCGGACATATTGTTAGGCCTCCTTTTGCATGCGCAGCCACCAATACCCGTGTGTTAGGGCTCGGTGTGCCAAGGACCGACCACCAGTGTGACTCCCACAGATTCCATCATGGATCTCATAAAGCACATCTTCCACCAGACTTGGATGAACACAGAGTAGATAAGGGCCCATGTAGGACTTCTTGTAAAGCTTGCCAGATGGGGAGACCCAAAATCGAGCAGCTTTATGCCTTGTCTTGTGCGCTTCCTTTTTGTCCTCAAGAAGGGTTCCATTCTTCAAGAAGGCCAAGGGTAAGTCAATCAAACTCGGGCCCAAGTCAGTGCAGACGACCATTTTGACTAGTTGAATACTTGGTTGGGGTACATATTCCACCCATATTTTACGGCCGTTTCTGGAGTCGACCGAGGAACCCAGGCAAGCTAAAGCGTCAGCATGACCATTTCGCTCTCGGCCAATCTTCTCGACTCTGATGGCTTGGAACTTTCTGATCAAATTTTTGGCCTGTTGTGCATAAGTGGTCATCCGCCCATCGCGAGCCTCGTAAACTCCAGAGAGTTGGTTGACCACTAATTGGGAATCACTAAAGACGAGTAGCTTCTCCGCGTTGAAGTGTTCGGCACTTCGCAGGCCGGCTAGTAGAGTTTCATACTCTGCTTCATTGTTAGAAGCTTTCCAGCCCAATCGAATGGCTTGCTTCCACATGAATCCTTCAGGAGAAATAAGGACAACTCCTGTCCTTGAGCCTTTTTGGTTGGAAGAATCGTTATACGTCTCCAACAAAAAGTTTCCATACTTCGGCTGGGGATTGTCCTTTATGCTGGGCAATCATAGTGACCAAAGCCGAGCTCCCTTCGGAGGGGACAGCTGGTCCCGGGGTGAATTCTGTAACAAAGTCTATCAGGACTTGAGCTTTGATTGCTGTTTGAGGTTGGAACTTGATATCAAACTCTCCAAGCTCCACCGCCCATTTTGCTGTTCGGCCTAAGAAATCTTCTTGACTGAACACCGACTTGAGGGGGAATTCAGTGATGACGTTGATGGTATGTCCTTGAAAGTAGTGAACAAGCTTCCTAGAGGCAATTAATAGTGCATATGCCAATTTCTCCAATGGTAAATATCTAGTTTCGGCATCTAAGAGTGTCTTCCTGACATAATACATTGGTTTTTTCTCATTTCCATCCTCTCTAACTAGCACTGCACTAACAGCATGATCAGAAACAGCCAAGTAAAAGAAAAGCTCTTCGTTGGTGACAAGTGTAGATAGAAGGGGAGGAGAGGACAAATACTTCTTCAAATCTTCTAGTGCTTCGGAGCAATGGCTTCCCCATTCAAAACTGGTTTTCTTCCTTAGAAGTTGGAAGAAGGGCTTCATCCGATCAGAAGACCAACTGATGAAACGGTTAAGTGCTGCAACCATGCCAGCAAGTTTCTGGAGTTTCTTAGCCTTTGTAGGCGCTTCAAGGTCTTGAAGGGCTTTGATTTGGTCGGGGTTGGCTTCAATGCCCCACCTAGTCACCATATACCCTAAGAACTTCCCTGATCCTACCCGAAAGGCACATTTTGAGGCGTTCAGTCGAAGCTTGTGAGTCTTCAAAGTTCCAAACATTTGCTCAAGGTCCCTCAGATGGTGCTCGACCAACTTTCTTTTGACGACCATGTCATCAATGTATGCTTCCATCGTTTTACCGAGCTGGTCCTTGAACATTTTGGTGACCATTCGCTGGTAGGTCGCACCAGCGTTCTTCAAGCCGAAAGGCATCACTTTGTAGTAACAAGTGCCTCTAGGGCTGATGAAAGCTGTTTTCTCTTGGTCAGGACCGAACATGGGGATCTGGTGGTACCTACTGTAGGCGTCTAGGAAGCTCATACGCTCATGTCCAGCCGTTGCGTCAACAAGTTGATCTATTCGTGGAAGTGGGAAGCTATCCTTAGGGCAAGCTTTGTTAAGGCTAGTGAAGTCAACACAGACTTTCCATTTGCCATTCTTCTTCTTCACCACGACGATGTTGGACAGCCACTTTGGGTATTGCACTTCTCGGATGACTCCAGCAGCTAAAAGTTTGTCCACCTCTTCGATCACTGCATCTGTGTATTGTGCGGATGACCGTCTATTTTTCTGAACAACTGGCCGCGCTCCTAATTGGACGTTAAGTCGATGACCAGCATAATTGGAGTCCAACCCCGGAGTGTCATAGGCCGACTAGGTGAACACTTCGATGTTTTTACGGAATAGAGCCAGTAATTACTCTTTCTCTCCAACAGTGAGGGAAGTGCCGAGCAGAAAGAACTTGTTTGGGTTTCCTTCTTCTACCAAGACCGTCTCTAGGTCTTTTATCATCTTCTCGGTTGGCACTCCGCCGACATCTTCCAAAACTGGCTGGTCAGGTACTTCCACCATGTGCACTTGGTCACACACTTGTTTGGCTTTCATGGTGGCAATGAAACAGTGTTTGGCCGCCACTTGGTCTCTGCGAATCTCCTCTACTCCATACTTGGTTGGAAAGCGAATGAGTTGGTGATAGGTAGAAGGGACTGCCTCCATCTGGTGGATCTAAGGTCGGCCAAGGATGGCATTGTAGGGAGATGGGGTGTTTACCACCAAGAAGTCAACAGAGATCACCTTGGACTTAGCTATGACAGACAGAGTTATTCGGCCGAGCGGCCATTCTGTTTACGAGTTGAAACCAACTAAAGGGGAGGTGGCAGGTGTCAGGTGTTGCTCACTGAGGCCAAGCTTCTTGAAAAGCTCGTAATACATGATGTTTGCAGCACTCCCTTGGTCAATCAAGACTCGCTTCACATCGAACTTGTTGGCCACACCAACTGTAACGATGAGGGCATCGGTGTAGGGGTGCTGGATTCTCTCTAGGTCCTTCTCAGTGAACACGACGTTAAACCGAGAAGGTCTAGCTTCTATCTTGGACTTTTTGGGAGGAGGTCTTACCGACATTGTCTGTTGAATATGGGTGGCTCGTTGGATTTCTCCTCGAATGGTGTTTTCTCTTTCGGGGTCAGTCATTTCATGGATAACGTTGATGACCAACCTCGGGGCATAGTTCTCTTCAGGAGGGGCTTGGTCTAGTCCTTGCTTTTCCCTCGTCTTATCAACGTCTATCCATTGTTGGAGGTGTCCCGCCGTAACTAAGTCCTCCAAGTGTTGTTTGAGAGCTTTGCAATTTTTTGTCTTGTGTCCCTTCTCGCGATGATAGGTGTAACGCAGTGTCTGATTGCGCCGAGCAGGGTCTCCAGGCATCTTAGCTGGCCAGACAAAGAAGGCTTCCCCTTTAAGTTTCTCGATGAGCCTATATATTGGCCCTTTGAAGACGGTAGTGATTCCTTAATAAGACTTGGCCCTTTCCTCTTCGTTTTTCGCTGTGGAGCGGTTCTTTTGGCCATAGTTCTTGCGCTGCTCATCTCTCTTTGGCTGCTCAGTCCTGGGTGGTCGAGGAGGTCTGACTTCTTCTTCAGCAACCGCAACATGTACCGAAGCAACGTCATCTTCCACACGAGCTTGTTACTCTATTCGAGCCCTCAAATCCTTCATGGTGGGGGCAGGTTGTTTCGTCAACGATTGCCTTAGCTTGTACGAAGGGGGTAGGCCTTGCTTGAAGTATAGAACGGCCAATTGTTCACTACAACACATTTTCTTCCAAGTCACCATACTCCTCCCAATACCGTCGCGCGTACTGGCGGAGGGTCTCTTTCCTGTCATTTCGGATATTGAACAAGGTATCTAACTGCATTGGGACTCTGCTGTTGGAGACAAATCGGGCTAAGAATTCCTTAGAGAGTTACGTCCAGTCATAAATCGAGCCATTGGGGAGTTTGTCAAACCATTGGAGGCCAAGTTCTCCGAGGCTAGAAGGGAAGACTTTGTACATGAGTGCGTTGTTGCGGTTCCAAAGGGACATCATCTGGCGGTAATGAATGATGTGCGTTAGAGGGTCCGTCTTCCTATCATAGAGAATGAATTTCGGTGGGCTATACTTCCGTAGAGGTTCTACAGCTTCTATCTCTAGGGAGAAGGAGGTGGACACCAACCGGTCTAGAGCACGACTGCTCTTGTTGGTGTATGGACCGATCCAACTGGTCTTTTTCCCTATTGAGCCGGCGTTCCTCCTTCCTACCTCGTCGATGTTCTCCTTCTTTGCATAGCTGTCGCGCCTCTTCTTTGTTATCATTCAGCCAACTTTTCAAATCGTGCGGTCGCTTGTCACAGCGACAATGAAAGGTTTCAGATAGGCGGCTGAAAGTCCTCTGCTTTTTATGAGAATCCTCTCATGGGTTATTTTTTTTGAGGTTATTCGTCCTACTGCTGGCCCCTTCACTATGTACCGGAATCGGCTGGCTACGCTCTCTACAAGCAGGGCCACGGCTGGAGTGCTCCTTGTGAGGCGACAGAGGAGTATGCCTCCTTTGCGATGGTCTACCAACAGATTTTCTTGGCTTTGCTGGGGTCACCATGAACTTCATCAATTGGGTGCGAAGCTCAGTGATCTCCAAACCCATTGAATCGATGATGTAGTCACAGTGGTCTTTCTCAACAAAAAGACATTGAGACGGCTCAATGGCAATGACACGGCGTCGCTCCGCCGCGTAGGCTGTCTGATCATCATGGTCCATAAGGTCATCATGCACTGGAGGGAATGCCAGACCCTTATCTTTGGTGCTCTCCGTCATTGGAGTCCTCTCTGCTAGCCCAGAATGGGGTGTATCTTCGATTCCCATCGCCGGAGTTCGTTACGAAGCAATCAATGGTATTCCCACAGACGCCGCCAATTGTGCGGGGGTGATTTCCGCACTATGAAGAAGGGTTAAACTTCATGGATAAACAACGTGCTTTGGGAATTGAAGATCTGCACAGAATAACAAACGGTGAGACTGCCCGACCGGGGTTTGGTCAGAAACCCCTCCGATGGTAAAGTCAGGGACTCAGGGAGAGGAAGAAGAGAGAAGAGAGAATACTAAAAGTGTATATGTGTTGAGTGTGTGGATTTTCGGATCCCTTAAGAGTGAATAGTGTTCACCTTTTATAGGAGAAGGTTGTTTGTTGTTCAAATCCTTCTCTCTTCGCCATCTGTCCAATGTGTCTTATTCGTGGTCGTCTCCCATTGGAGGAGGACGACCACTCCGCCTGACACTCGGGTGCAGGTCTGTTTTGTTTGTCTCATTAGCGGACATCTCTCATTGGAGGAGGACGACCACTCCGCTTGCCATTCAAATGCAAGTCTGTCATATGTGGACCTTGTCCCTCTGCACCTCCATGTCTCCACGTTCTGTTCATACAGAGGGAGAGGAACAGAGTTGTTTTGTCTCTTGTGGGCCCAAAAAAGATGTCTCTTGTGGGCCCAAGAAAGATTTTCAGTGAATTAGCCTTCTTTGAGTTGGCCTACTCTAGAATGGTTGTCCAACCAGGAGGTCCAACATGTTACTCAGCCCACTTCAGAGTGGTTGTCTATCCATCCAGGAGGTTCAACATGTTACTCAACCTACTTCGGAGTGGTTGGCTGCCCGTCCAGGAGATCCACCATGTTGCTCGGCCCACTTTGGAGTGACATTCGTACATTGGGCCGAGCTCCTATGATTGTCTTGCTTCGGAGCAAGTGTTGGCCGTAGGGCCGAGGTCCAACCTAGCTCAACCTCGGAGTGAGCATCGCATTGGGCCTAGCACCAAGACTTGATTAATTTTTACCCACTTCACCGCTAACCCACAATTCTTAACTCACATCGAATTTTATGACAAACTCATTTTCTAACAGTTCTAAAAAAAAAAAAACACGATTTTCAGGACTAATATGTCTATAAAAATCTTACTCAAGAGTCTTGAGTCAAAGAAATATTGGGTAATAAGTCCAACAAATTGAATCAACTGGAAATTTTACCTATTTAAATTTAATTTCGCTAATATAACTTGTATTGTTACAAAAATTATCAGATAGGTAGAGAATTTAACTGTATATCCATCAAATAATATGTAATCATGTTTTTGTTGCATTTTTTTTCTTCTTAAAAATGGTTACATGCCCATATTATTTATACAAAAATTGAAAATACGCATGAGGTCTTATTGGTTGATGCTATGTGGCACTCGCAACACCAACCAATCAAAACTAAACACGTTTGTTATGTTCGATTTAATTCTCAAATCAAAGAATACTCCCTTAAACTCTATATTAGAGGGATTTAGCCCTATCACATAGTAAAAGTCATAACAGATGTCACGCTTAATATTATTGCCAATTCTTATTCTGATCATGTTAATGAAAAAGAAAAAAAAAAAGAGAAAGAAATTGATGAATTGAATTATCATATCACTTTAGATAAATTTTCTACATAAAAATTCTAATTCACTCATTTTTCTTTTTCTTTTTCTTTTTTTCATTTACAAACTTAAAATTTAAATACAATTTAATATTTGACTCTGCAAGTAAAATTGGTCTAAGTAGATGTTGTTATAAAGACAATATCAATTTGAGGCAAAATGTTAAGGAACTTTCATACTCTCCTTCCTACCTTCTCTTACAATTTTCCATTCCTTCAATGGAACCAAGACTACAAAAATTTAAGAAAAAATTACAATATGATGATTGGTTTTGTACAGGAGAGAAATATTCGTCATTTTCCGTGGCATCACAGGGATAGTTTGCCCCTATCAAAGTTATGATTCTTGCTATTGCGATTATTTCCACGGTTTTACTCTCTTTCGAGGTTGTTCGGACGGTTTTTCTCATGTTTGACTGTGTGAACCTTTCTCGTTATTCTCTTGTTCACTACTATCGGACTTGCCTTCACGGTAGCTGCGGCTGTAATGTCCTCAACCTAGATGTGCTTGTTAATCCGCTGCATCAATGACTCCATAGTTGTGGGTGGGTTCACCGTAAGCGAGTCCTACAACCTATGTTCGACTAGTAGGTCTCGCTTGTACTGGGCGATTGCCAAGTTAGTGGGGCAATCAAGGATCTCGTTGTGGGTCTCTCAATATTTGGCGTTGTATACCTTCAATGAACTGCACGATTCCATCTTTATGTCCAGGAGGTGATCGACCTCCTTCAGTGTTCCGGTGTTGGTCTTGAATCTTGTGGCGAATGCTACCACTAGCTACTACCACCCTTCCATACTCCAGTCCGACAGCCTCTCGAACCATTTCAGGCCCAACTCCCCAAAACTCGCTGGGAATATAAGGCATATCAGGGCAACGTTGCATCTATGTCTCGTCATCACCTGCTGGTAATGACTAACGTGCATGTATGGGTCCATCTTGCCATCTTATATGTGAACTTAGGTTGGTGGAAGCCAGTGGGGAGTAGTGTGCTCTCGATATCAAGGGAAAGTAGGGTGGCATTTAGTCTCACCAAGTCTCTATCTTCTGGTGCTTTAACCACTATTATGGATGATGACATGGTCACTTCTTCACTAGGATGGACTTTGGGATTCAACCTCTGTAACGCCAGCACTCTCTGGGCGTCTCTGCGGCGTACATGCTCCTCCAAGATGTCATTCAGGTCCTCTGATCAAGCAAAGTAAGAATATCTCGATGTCGTCGATGGACGTGAGAGGTGATAGCTACTATCTCACGTGCATGATCTCTCCGTTAGCAGGACGTAGTCGCCAACTCCATAGCTCCTTATAATGGAGAAGGAAGGCATCCCTCACCTGTTTTGACTGCTTGAGCGATGGGGCTGGGTGCGTTCACTGTGATTTCCCACTCCAGCAACACCCTTCCTTTTAATCTGCCCCTTCAGTGCCTTCATCTCAGCTGCCATCTTCTGCATGATGGTGTCTTGGTTTCTCAGTTTGTCCTCTAGATGTTGAGTGTGCGATTCTCTTCTTCATCGGCGCCCTTCAGGACTCTGTGAATGTTCGGCACTCCTCGCACGTTTGTCTCGCGTGTCCCTAAATAGCTCTCTAGTGGAAGTCGCCAGACCAGCTATGTTTGGAACGGCAGGCAAGTCGTTTCACATCCGAACAGACTCTAGAGTGATGCCGTCAACGGTGGACAACGAGATCTCGTCATTGTTCGCCATTGAAAAGCTTGGAGGACAAGGTTTTGTCAGTTTAGTTTTCCACAAATTGAGCCAATTTTACAGGGGAGAAATATCCGTCGTCTTCCGTACGCCTTGCTCCTAGAACTCTGTCTAACTGCTAACAAAACAAAGGTGAGCTACCTAACAGGTGGTTCTTCGAAAAACCCTTCCGAGAACTCCATCTAACTGCGAACATAACAAAGGTGAGCTATCCAGCGGATGGTTTTCT